ACTGTTCCATAGGGGATGCTGTCCCACACGGGATGCTGTCCTGTGTTTGCTGTGCCTGGGCTCGCTTAGTCCAGTGCCGGCCATCTGGGCGAAGTGTTCTCCCAGCGTCACCTAAAAGCGCGATCACGCTTTCCCTTTCTCTTGACAGATAATCCTGAAATAGCCGGCAGGAGTGGAACSGAGTGTCACGAAGCCTCCCTGCGGACGGCCAAGCACGGCTACTGTACATACTACCCCGTCTCCTCCTCTCTAGAGTTGCCACAAACTGCATGCTAAGTCAAGAATTTGTTCTTATGGACAAATCAAAAACTCAAAAAAGCTAGTGCTGCTATGTCATATATGAATATTATATATGGTATGCTTACTATACTCCAACCTAAAATAGTTAACTACCTGATACCAGCTGTGATGTTTCAAGACATAAAGGGTAACATTTAGTTTTAAAGGTTTTCTAAGCATAGTTTAATTATTGCAAATATTGTCGTTTCTCCATAACTACACCTAACGGAAATGGTCCAGATCAGTTAGTCTCGCGAGATTCAATGTTTATTAATCTTTCGAGCTCAGCAATAATTGAGTTGCATTGGCTAAAAACTTTCCCCAGTTGCAGGTTTAATTTTCACCCAAACTATGATTCGGGGTTTTCTTCTCGGTTAAAAAAAAATAAATAAAATCTTGGTTTTGCTCCCTTGGTGAGTTGATTCCAAGACTGAGGAAGTGAAACGCAGCCCGATGTCCTGCACATCATCCTGCCAATCTGATATTTTTAGCCAGAAGTCCAAAGTAAAGCACAAGGTGTTTAGATGCACATGGTTGGTGTTTGACTTGTATGGAGAAGTTGCATTTGAATCATAGCAGAATAGCAGAAGAAAATTTAAAAATTTTGCACAGTATGAACTTCATACCCCTTTCAATCCCCAAATGAACAAAGTCTTGAGAATATTATTTTACGAGTATATTTATAATGTTTTTAAAATAGACTTGCAGAAGTGCCTAAATTTTGTCACATCAGACTTGATGAAAGTGAGCCTGATGCCAACAGTCAAATCTCACCGGACGCGAATAATCTTTGAAACTCATAGTCAGGTTACCAAAAAGATCCAAGCTGTTAAGAAGTAACTTCTAGAAGTGTAAAATCAAACAAAACGAAAAGAAACAAGACCAAACTAACAAAAGAAAAGGCAAAAAAGAAGGCTGTAGATGAAGAGATTGTATGATACTCTAATTTAATTAAAATTCAGTTGAGTCACTGAAACTTCATAGGTGACTTTAATCTAGGCTATTAACTGAACACTAAGAATGTAGATTGAGATTCAGTTTAATAAATCATTACTGTATTTGCATTTTTTTAATTGGATTATAAGATTGTAACCAGATTAGAGTGGAGAAAAAATAGTTCTTTTAATTGTTTTTCTTTAAAAACATATTTTATGTCACAAAAGTATGAAGATATCTTTAATACAATTATATACGTTATATATACATACATACATATATATGGATGAAGCAGATTTTAATGTTGTTTACTTTTTTAAATACTTTGTTGATTTACAAGGTAATTATATATGTATAATTAAAATTTCATTTGTTTGATTTGAGATTTGTTTCAAGCACTATTGTACCAAATATTTCATATTTCACATTTTATATGTTGCACATGTATCACATAAATGACATAGTTTTTAAATTATTGTTTWAAAAAACAAGACAGCTGTTATAAGTGGATATTATGTATAATTGTTTGCAGCATAAGTTTTCTATGTGGACATTACTAGTGATTGCAGTATTTTAACTTAACCTCTTCAGATTGATTGTAAACTATTTTAAACTTTGGCAGCACTGCCTGTTCTGAACGACTGAAGGCACTAACCATATTATTATTTGTCTAGGAAATTATTTTCCAGACTAAATCTTGTTTGTCTGATGTCTAATTACTATCTATTTATATATAAAGCTGGAGATTTGATCATCCGAAAGAAAAAAAAAATAATGACAATTCGGTTGTAAAATTAACATAGTGCTTGTAACGTTGCATTAGTTTAATTTGTGGAAAAATAATGTATCTTAACTTGTTACTTTAGCAGTTAAGGTATCACCATTATATACTATTAAAACACTAATATTTGTAGACTTTCTCAGTCATTATAACTAGGTAGTTGACACTGCAACTTGCCTATATCTGTCAAAGTTGTTTTTATTTTTTTATAATAGTTAATTTAGGCATTTGGGTAGCTTATTGTATAATACTAAATGGTAAATTATCCATGTTTAAATATTTTATGTAGATAACTCTTCAAGACATCGTTTTGTGTGAACTTTTTATGTTTCAAAATTACTGTTATTCTATGTTTTTTACAATTAATCCAATATTACTATTTTTTTGCCCATGGATGACGAAGCTTCAGATACATCAGGTCTTTCATCCAGATAAACTGACAGACAAAAAGAGAAAATGTATTTTTAATAAGAGATCCACTTTCCGACTTTATGACTTTGTAATATTCCTGAAAACTGTACAAGTACAAACCTATGCTAACAGTAAGGAGGCAATTACAGAGATGTGCAAATACGTGTACAACAGATTCTGCATTTTATTTATTTATAAAGTAATTTTATAGACTATTTCAAAATTTGGGAAGATCTAAAACTATTTTTCTGTATAAATATTATTTGCCAAAACTTTGTTTATATTTTAAAAAAAAGTCTAATGAAAATGATTAAATTTTAAATGCTTTGTTTAATTAAAAAAAAAAGATACAAGAAGAAATATAACCCCCTAAAAGAACCATGAGATGGGCCAACACGGAGACAGTGAATACTGTAGCTGGGACATGGTTTCAAGCGACTTGAGATGTCTCAGTGCTTATTTTCTTCAAAGGATACAGCACCTCACCAAAATACCTTTTTGTTTGCCTCTCTCATCCAGCATAATTGACGACACGTACAATGAATATTTCGGTAACAGTTAAAGAGAAACCCTCCATTCACTCTTTTCCAACATATATAATTACTAGTGGTCTGTTAAATAGCCATTCTATTTCTGTTGTGACGTTAAATTCATTCACCCAATGTACAACCACTGAAATAAAAAGAAGCATTTTAAAATGAGAATGGAGTCGGGGCAATCCTTTCTCGTGGTGCAGCTCTGAGAAGAGGGGCCTGGGGTAACAAAAAAGAGCTCCAAGAAAGTGGAAGAGTCTTTTAAAAAGTAGGTATTTTTTAATTTTATGTTTTCCTTAATTGCTTGCTCAAGTGACAAATCCTCAAATGCAATCCCCATGTGCAGGACATGCAAATGCTATGTGAGGAATCTCAAGCCCTTTTCCTGCTGAGGATGCCACACCTCATGGCTTCAGCCTCCACAGGTATCCCGTGCCCTTCCCACCTTCCCAGGGTGCTGGTTATCCCAGAGCTGTGGCTCACAGTTGCCTGACCATCACAGGATTTTTTTGGTGGCACATCCTTTGCACCTTCTTTTCTTTCCTACAGTGTAAAGAGTATTACACCAGCAAATAATCCCTGTTATCTGTTAGTTCCTCTTGGGACAGTAGCATCACAGAGGAGCTGTGTGCCCATGGGCAGAGATCGCATGGCAAGCTAGTGACAGAGGAAGGATTAAAACTTCTGGCTGCCAGCTCCGTGGTTTCTTCACACTCATTGCCTTCCCTGATTTATTTTTTAAAATGCTTTAAGAAAGGAAATACAATTCCTGCAGAATCAAGAAGAGTTTGTGTCATRAAGTTGTCTACATTTCATCAGCACGGGACTGGTTTGAAAGGAGTCCAAGGTCACAAGTGATGTGGAAAACCACCAGGTCAACCAGTCTATTTGGATATATCACAGACATACTGAGCCAGAAGCCTGCTGAGAACRAGCATGTGGGATGGAGAGGAGAAACAGGATGACTTGCAGGAACAGGGAAGGACTGGAGCATTAGAGGGCTGCAAGGGCATTGTAGAGCAGAAGCAGCAAATGATTAAAATTCAACTCCTAATCACTCAGGAGCGGGAAGCCTGTTTGTTCACACTTTCTTATGTTAAACCCCACCCTGGATAGTTGTCCGCTGCCAGGAAGGGTCAGGACATGCCACTTTTCTTGTCTAAAAGCTGCTTTGTTTCTTGTCAACTTTGGCACTTTCTTGGCAGTGGAGGAGTGCTCGTGGAAGCCGTGAGCTTTCAGGGGCCACAGCAAACCCACAGTGTCTGTATGTGTCCATGTGCAGAGCATACTCCCTTTGGATAACATCAGGGTTTCCAAAATGAATCAAGTAACTTCTGGAGGAGAGCCTTCAGAAACCTTTGGTTCCCCCCTGCCATGCACATCCTCGTGGACAGTCTGTGGCCACTGCTTTGGCCCTCACCTCAGGCCAAGGGCTGCAGCAGTGTCCTGGTGCTCCCAGCAGACTGCCCGGGGGCACTCGTCCATGCACCTCCCCTGGCCCAATGTGGTGCAGGCATGGCCATAAGACATACTCTCTATGTTTTGCTTGGTTGTCAGTTCAAAAGTCTGAAGCAATCTGAGGACTGGAGTGTTTTTGCAGTCTGCTGGAATTAAGAGCATGAAACAAAAGGGGATGTGACATTTGAGGGATCAGAGCCTGCTGGGATAGTTTTGCATGTTTGTATACAGCAAATGAAGCCAAAACTGGTTGAGCCTTGTTCATGCTGCACTGTGGGATTGACTCTTGAGCAAGTTACTAAAACAGCAACTGGGTTTTCTTTCAGGGAGTTGTTTCACTCCAGAAGAGAGCCCAGGAACAATCCAACATTTCTGTACTGTGGGTGACAATAGATAAAAGGACTTGTGGGTAAGGCTGCTCAACAGTGTAGGCATTGAATATACTGMTACTGACATTTATTACATGAATTCATGGGATGAAAAAAATACCTTGCTGGAATTACTGAAAACCTTCCTTGGCATCTGATTGTACGGTCATCTGAGCATACCATGCTCTTTATGCCTGCAATTGGCTCTCTAGCCAAGCCTTTTGTCCTGTAGACTGCATTTTTAATGTCATATAATTGACAGTTCTGGAGGCTTTTTCACATGGGTCAAGATGATTTTTATTGCTGGAATGGATGTTTGCAAGAGCAAAATTACCTCAGCGGTTGCATTATTGCTGGTATGTAACACTGGAGCACATAGGTATAGAATATAAAATTCTATTATCTGTGAATGGATAAATTATGGAAATGTGTCCTAAATTGTTATTCTTCTAATTCAGTAGTTATAGAAACCATAGAAATTGTAGAAAATAAATTACACATTTCTTTACATGGAAATACTTTCTGCTGTAACAGGGGAAAAAACTCAACACTAAGAAATGTGAAAGGAAGGTATTGGTGTGAGCTGCTTATTCAGTGCTGGGTTGCAGTTGCATTATTTCCATCAAAGCTTGCGATGTGAGGAAAAGACTCAGCTTTATGATTTAGGAAAATCACTACAGGAAAGACGCCCTGCTCCTCTCATSTTCAAAGGGCTGGATTTGGATACTACTTTTAAGGGAAACAAATTCTGGTGAGTGTCCTCCTTAGTCTTAATTGTCACGGAASAGTCAAGGTGTGGCCTATGTGGTTCCTCAGAGGGCCACCAGACCAAAGAGCTGCCAGGATGTGGAGGTGACGAGGGTGACCACAGTGGTGTGAGGTTCACCTTGTAAGAACAGCCCCCAGGGATGGTCATGCAGGTGGTGCCTGTGCTAAGCCTRGGCTGTGTTTGCATTTGCCATGACTGCCTCTCCTTTTCATGCAGGGCCAGAAGGAGGAAGTGCTTTTACTTCCTTGTTTTATGGTTGTAGCCACTGCACTGAATGCCAGTGGAGCGCACTCAGAGATGCTCCAGTTGGTAGCTRACAGCACAGCTCGGGACCACAAGTGGGCAAGTTTTTCACACTTGGAAAGCTGCTAGGGTGGGATCCAGCTTTCTCTCTGTAGCTGTGGAGTCTCCAATCAGACACTGCAGAGTACCCACTTGGCCTCAAGCTGCTGCTGTTGAGGCCTGGGTGAGTATGTTAACTTAAGTCTGCCAGCYCCATGCAGGTGTCTCAGATACAACACCTTAGATGAGTTTAGTCAATGAATCCCACCCATTTGCACAAAGGTCAATGGTTTTGATTTTGTAACACCCATCATGCTCAAGAAATCACAAAATCATGGGATTTTAGAAGAAATAAATGAGGTTGAACTCTTCTGATAGAATATCAATGCACTCCAGTGAGTGTGAACTTTGCAAGAGCAATCACTGGAGTAGGTTYCTGGGCTGATGGTACTGCCCATTCCTCAGCTGTTACCTCAGAATCCATGGTAAGTGCTTATGGGCAGCAGAAGCACACTGGCAACTCCTGCTGTGGCAAGACACTTCTCATYTTATTTCTTTTAAATCAGATCATGGGAGGGGCTGAACTTCTTCAAGTCCAATTTTATCTGGAGTTGCTGGTATGTGTAAAACTTCTGTTTGGTGTTTTTCTCCCCAACTTACTTGTTYGATTGATTGCTCTGGRGTCCCCAACATAAGGAGGAGATGGACTTGTTGGAGTGAGTCCAGGAAAAGGCCATGAAGATGACCAGAGGCTGGAGCACYTCTCCTGTGAAGGCAGACTGAGAGAGTTGGGGTGGTCAGCTGGAGAAAAGRAGGCTCCAGGGAGACCTTARAGCACCTTCCAGTACCTGAAGGAGGCCCATAGGAAAGAGGGCAACAGACTTCTTATCACCTGTTGTGATAGGTAGGACAAGGGATAATGCTTTTAAACCCTTTTGAAAGAGGGTCAATTTAGATTAGATACAAGACAGAATTCTGGTTTATACAATGAGAGTGATTAAAAACTTGAACAGGTTGACCAGAGAAGTTGTGAATGACCCATCCCTGGAAGCATTCAAGGCCAGGTTGGATGGGGCTCTGAGCAACCTGGTTGAGTTGAAGATGTCTCTGCCCATGGCAGGGGACTGGACTAGACATTAAAAAGTCCCTTCCAACCCAAAYCATTCAGAGAGCCTATAAAGCAAATGAAACCAAATTAACTCCAATTGTCAGCCAACTCAGCACTTTCTTACTTGCAGCCACTCTGTTTGCCAGATGATCACATATGGATTGCCTGAACGATGGCAACCTGAGCATCCTTTTTTGTTCTGCAGGCAGAACCGGAACATGCTTTTACCACACAAAATTCAGGCCTTTTGCATTCAGCCCCAGGATTCCTGTATAAGCAAATGGAGACAGAGTGACTGAGGCTTTGCCAGAGGGCAACAACATTCAACTTCTAGGCAGGATTGCCTCTTCTGAAGCCTTTCCAGCCCTGCTGCCTACAGAGGTGCCTAGTGTGACCCCTCCTCCATCAAGCTGGGGCACACAGCAAGGTGCTGTGCATTCCCAATGCTGCCTCCAGCTCCTTGCTCTGGCTTTCACCCGAGCTTCTCTTCTAAGCATATATGCACCATGGAAACCCCATGCTACCTGCTGGCTTCCATGCCTTTATTTTTGTCTGAGGGTGGTTGTTTTTCCAAAGCATCTTATTCCCCTGTTTCTTCCTTTGACTCTAAAGATGACGCAGGCTTTTACAGCACTGTGTGGTCGGGGAGCACGCCGTGGTCCTTGCACCACTGCAGTGCTGTAATGGGTGCAATGAACTGATTTATCTCGCTGCCACAGACTGAGCATGCTGCTTGGAAGATGAGGAGATGATTTAAGTGATCTGTTCTASAGTAATCAAATGCCTTTCCCCACCACTACACATGCACATTAATGTGAATCCTTTACTGTTTAGAGAAACTTCAGGGGGGAAATGTCCTTTTGCTACTTAAGGAAAAGCATTAGCTGATCCTGTCTTAATTCGAGCACAGAGGCTTTTATCTTCACCCACTTGATTCTGCTGGCCTTCCTAAGGAGACCTTGGATCCAAATTAAGAGCAATGCTGTTCTTGACCATGCAGAGACATTCCTTGCAAGGTTGTGGAAGCCTTTGTGAGTCAGTTCCAGCAGAATTGACCAAATGAACTTCATTTTCCTAACTAAAGCAGGAAACCCACAACCATATGAGCATTTAAAGCATCATTTAATTACAGATTTGTTTTGCGTGGACATTAAAGTGGTCTAAGCCTTCCTACAGAGGA